TCATGCATAAATGTTCTTAAAAAAATTGCTAAATCCAAATTATTTTCTAATAATCAACCATATCCGACTCTAATATCATTTGTTAGGGTGGTAATTTATATTAACCTTTGGTGAAAGTTATCACCTATTAAACCCAAAATTTATATGGCAATTATTAAGAAATAAATTAACAGTAAAATTGCGAAAGCATACCTGAATTCATATCGACAAACAGATATTTGAATCTCTAAAGATATTGGGGTGACCTTCAAGGTCAACACGTATTTGATAATTCTTGAGAGAGCCCTTTAGTTTTTCTCTGGTATCTTTCCTAACGATGGGATATTAGGGAAGAGCTATTCTGTGGTACTAGAAAATATGACAATAAGAAAAAAAAAAAAGTGTGACCTGGGGACCATAATCCTATTTATAGATAACATTCCTATTACCCTTCGGATTCCTATTTCACCCCATCATAGAAATAGGAAATATCCTTAATTCTATACACATTAAAGGCCCACACCCTATTAGATATATTAATGCCAAATCATATTTGATCACTTTAATTGGACTTAACCTTATTTAATAGTTTGCAACACATAATTATTTACATATAAGTCCAGCATTGGATTAAGGATCTAACACAAGAATCTCTAGATTTTGTTTAGAAATTTTTGTTGCTTCCCAAGTAACCTATGGAAAACATAGGAATTATTTTCTCTATCAAACAAAAAGAATAAAATGGCCGACAAAAGATGAACGTTGAACATTTCGAACAAAGGTTGCGTGCTTCGTGTTTTCTGTTTATGATAATACAATCAAGTCTGTTAATGCCACTAAGAGTTAAAACTACAGAGTCAAACGATTGATTTAGTGCATCAATCCAAGCTATAATGGCTAATTAATTGCATTAAGACATTCATTTTAAAGAATGAAACATAACCAAGCGGCATACAAGGTTACATTAAATGGTCAGATTGAGCAAAAGTCATAGAGGATTCTCACAGTTGGAAGTTGAATGAAGTGGCGTCTGGCGCGAACCAAATGGCTTACTTTCTCTCCAAAAGAACTTTTCCGCTACTTTTTGGTTTGCCGAAATATGTTTTATTATCTGAAAGTTTGTGGAAAGCTAAGTTTGCAAATTGTGAATCCTGTTCACTTGTGTTCTAGTATATATAGGCAAGTAAAGTTACTGCTGGGACAACGTTAAAGGTACAAGAGCTTTATGTAGGCTTAAGAAATTTCTTCATTAATCATTAGTTCCTAGGATTTTTGCTCCACATGTATATAATATGTGCACTTGTATGATGTTTTTAATGAAAGCCCCAAAGATTTGGTTCAGAAAAATAATATTTAGTTCAGAAAGATAAAAGTTTATGGCTGTTAAAAATAATAAATTAAACTAATTGATAATATTCTGATAATTCTTAATTTACGGAAACTATATGAAATCATTCATTTGTAGTTTTATATATTTTTGTTTTACCTTGCCATTTTCAACTGTTAAGTAGCATTTGAACCTTAAATTTGGCAGTAGGGAAGACTCTAAGAGTCCTACCTAGACTTTAAGAGTCCTACTACCACAGGAGTGCATTAAAAGATAAAAAGTTTGTCGGATGTGAAAAGAACAAATTGAAATGAATAAAAATATATTGAGAATTATCAATGTCTTGACGTTATATGAAGTTACTTATGCAGGTGCCGAACACTTTCTCTTATCCTTTACATTGTGATAGGCTAAACAATCTCTTACCAAAAAAAAAAAAAAAAAAGATAGGTTAAACAATCCATTTTAGAAGATGCAATGTTTGCTTGACGTGTATGTAATATCTTAGTTGTGTAATTTTTCTCTGGGACCTTAACATAAATACTTAAATAAGAAAAAGTTAAAAGTCCGTGGAAGGTGACAAAGAAAAAATGAAAATAAATGAAGAGATTTTTGGAAATTCTAAATAGTGTCGAAGCCATGTAATCATGCATTTGTATTTTTGCTGGTTCACCTAACATTTCTTCTTATCCTTTCAATAATGACACATAAAATTCCATTTATAAGATCAATTAGGTGCAGAAATTATTTATACCTAGAAATAAAGATATTAGCATTTGTTTGGGCTTTGAGGGGATCTTGTTCTTTCAGCTTCAAGGCATCTATAGTTCTAGTAAAACATTTTTGTAATTTGCTTGAGGCCTGGGGAGATATTCTTTGGCAGTGGCTTGAGGGTTCTAGCTTTTGCTTCTGTTGCGACATATCAATTTTTCATGTTGGCTTTTTATGCCAAGCTGTCTGTTTGAATCCAGGCATGGCAGATTCCCTATGCCTTAACGACCAATAATTGCTTAACCAGATGGTAATTGACCAAAAAAAAAAAAAAAGATGGTAATTGAGTCGATATTAGCTCCATAGTTTCCCACCTACAAATTACAGGGATGGGTTGTAGCTAGAAATCTTATTAAATTTGGTTCCTAAGTTTTAAATGTTGTATATACTATAAAATTAAGAATTAATCTTTTTTACATTATCTATCAGTGTATACATTGACGGATTTGAATATCTTACACATTATTCCAATTTGAATTTGAATACCAAATTTCACACATGTCATCACAAATTATTGACTCATGATATTTTGACAAATAAAGATCACCATTCATTCAAACAAATGTATTAATGGCAACAGATGCATATAGCAAGTATAAAAAATGCAAGGGATCTCCTTCCACAATGAAAAATCAACAAAAATAGAACTCTTGAAACTCCATATCTTTATCAGCAATGAAAAACGGTGGTTGTGGGGATATGGATGCAATGTTTCAAACCGCCAATATAAACTGAAATTATTCCTAATCAGGTAATATGAGTTTACAGATGACAAGCAAAATCACACATTCCAAAGAGCAAAGAAAAACTCCCACAAGTAAACCTTAGGAAGACAAAACTCTTGCTAGAAAAACCTGAGGGAAAAGACTATCCTTAAAAAGTTCTAGGATACATTAAACTTGCATAAACAAGAGATAAATCCATAGAGAGAGAGAGAGAGAGAGAGAGAGAGAGAGAGAGAGAGAGATCTACATAAGGCTCGATTTTCAATGGTTTTTTCGTGTTTGATATGAATTCAAATACATAAAAGAAAGTGATAACAAAGAAGTTACCCTTGTCACATGAAATCCAACTCTCCATCTTGCTCCTCAATTCTTCATCCAAATCTAACTACAAGTACAAGATAGAAAAACTATACTAACTATACTATACTAAACTAATGAATTAAGAAAAATTAGTGAAAACCACATTTTTAGGTAGTGTCTCTAGTCTTCCAAAGTTATTAAACAAGCTCAACAAAGACCCTATTTATAGAGAAATTCAAGATCAAGATGAATTGTTTCTCGTTGGCAAACTTGTCTCTTAAAATCACCAAAAGTTGTTTCTTGAAAATTCTATGCTTGCTTGCTAATATCTAGCCGGATTTCTTACAGACAAATTGGTCAAAAAATTTGTGTGAACAGAGTACAAGTTGCAGAATAAGTTGTAGCCAAAAATGAAGAAAACGTGACCTTAGAAAATGCGGGCTGAGGTCATGTATTACCCCACATTTTGCCTCTTTTGCAAGTTTTCTCCTTTCTAGTTAGTCTTCAACTTTGCTCTGTTTTTGTACCAATTTCAATTGATATTTTCTCGATGATAGAGGCTAAACTAACTCTTGTACAAAACATAGAAATTGTAGCCCTTTAGTTGCTTTCCAATGCATCAAGAATCACCCGATTTGGAGTTTTGTATACTGATAAATGATAAATATACCCTTGACTGATCAAAAATCTGTTTCAGCTTTCGGCAATAAAAATGACCACCTGTATTTAGACTTTTTGACTAGGAAAACTCATGAACTGAATTTTGCTATCTTCATTAAAAATGGAGTTATATGTTAGCTTCAAAATGATTCAAAAATTACCTCAATCCAATACTTGTAACTCAAAATATAGCTGAAATACCAACATGTGTCAAACTTTTTCCCTTTTATACTAAGTTGCATTTCATCTTTTGCACTTCATACTCTTTAAATCAATTCAATTCATCAATAATTGTCCAAATATCTTATCAAATCACTCCAATTGATGATTGAATTATTAAATCCTATAAAAACATGAAGTTTTCACCAATTTAATCTATAGAAATGTAATTTTTGATATTTAAACCGCAAAATGCATAATTTACTAGAAACCTAGTTAATTAACTATAGAAATAAATAAAACACGCCAAAACTAAATAATAAAACACATTTAAATCACACAAAAATGCACACTTATCAGTTAATCAATCGATGATTACACCATTGGAAGACCGATATCAAAGGCTAAGCATGCAAGTTTGTTACATTTTGTGCCCAAAAGAGGTAAATTTACATTTGGGGGCAGTTGTCTATCAGCAGAGAATTAGTCAGGTTAAGTTCAATTGAATCCATTAAACAAGAAAATGAGTAATAGTTGGGCCATTAAAAACCCGGAGGTTCTACTGGATTTCACTAAATTTTTTTATTTTTAAGACAAATATTTCAGGTTTTGTTAAATTTTTTAATACTAAAATGAATAAAAAAATGATAAAATTTTTTAACCAGAATTGAACAGATAAAACTGGTTAAATTGCAAATCGGAAGCTGTTCCGGTTCAATTTTTTATTCAGGTTTAAAAACATTGCATATTTGTGAAAATATCAAAGAAAATGGGGTGAAGATATCTAAAATATTAGGATAAAGAGATAGAATAGTGATAAAATTAAGAAAAGTGGTGATTGAAAATAGTCTGAAACTTTCAAAACCGTATCATCCGAAAAGTGGTGATTAACAATAGTTTGAAACTTCAAAAGTAGGAAAAGTGCTGATTAAAAATAGTCTGAAAAGTGCTGATTAACGATAGTCTAAAACTTTCAAAATTAAGTAATGTGATGATTAACAATAGCCTGTACCATTCCTATCTTCCGAAGGAAAACAACAATGAGAGAATAGCAGATAAAGGACAGTAAAACATGGGAAAGCACAAGAGAAAGATTACTTAAATTAGCATGTTGGACTAATATGGCGAGTGGAATCAGTGTTATTACTGGTTGAGTGCATGTACAATAGATGTCTCAAAGTTGTAGCAATTCAATCATCGTAACTCAAATATCTGACAGGAACGACACAAAAATGGTATTCGCTTCAATCATTCCTCAAATCAACCGAATCGACTTAATCGTCAAAATCCTCATGATTTCCTTCTGAGTTTCCCTCAAACCTTTTTATATTAAAGTGCTTCATATCCACATCTTTTGCTTGCATATCTATAGCAAGGTCAGCCAATATCCTCCCAATAATTGGTGCCATCTTGAAACCATGTCCTGAAAAGCCTCCAGCAACCACAACATCCTTCCCAAATTCTCCATCCAAGTAATCAATCACATAATCCTTGTCAGGGGTCATAGAATACATGCAAGATTGTGTCAAGACAGGTTCGCTGGAGTCAACGAGACCACCAAATTTGCTTTGGATCCATTCTTTTGTTGCACTAAGCGTATCAGGCGATGCAGACCAAGTTCTCTTGTCTGGATCACAGGGATGGCCACCGTCCACTAATATTTTGAGCAGTCCTGGGAACTCCAAAGATGGAGTGCCAAAGATGTGAGCCTCACCATAGCTCGAAAAAGTCGGAAAACCACTTTCAATCGTGAACTCAGCCTCATGCCCTTGTTCTATTTTCCAGTAGTATACAGTTATTTCCTGGGGTTGTATGGGTAGAGTTAGACCTGCAACTTCCTTGACCAATTTTTTCATCCAAGCTCCAACTGTGACAACACATTTTTTCGCCCAAAACATTTGACCATTTCTGGTGCTGACCAAGATGGCATCTTTGGAAGGATCTTTCTTAATATCTACCACTTCCATGTTGTCTCTAAGGCTTGCGCCGTTCTTCATTGCAAGCATTTGAAACATTGAAACTGCCTTGGTTGGCCTAATAACGCCACCATGCTCAATCACCACACCAATCCAATCCTCAGTTAATTGAAACTTGAACTCTTCGGAAACTTGGTTATGGTTGAGAACTTGAACAGGAACCCTGTTTTTCTGGCAGCTGGATATCTTGGCCTGGAGGGACTTGTCGTATGATGAACCCAAGTCAATTTGGGAAGTCTTGAAGTAGACCTTGTAACCAGCTTCTTCTTCGGCTTCTTCCCACAGTTTTGCTGACTCTAGGACCATTTTAGGGTAGAAATCTTTGGTGTAGGTTGCACGGATGGTTCTTGATTCACCATGGGAGGAGCCTCGGTGGTGCAAGAAATCGAATTGCTCAAGCAGGAGTGTCTTCTTGCCACGTTTAGCTGTTTGGTAAGCTGTAGAACTGCCCATAACGCCTGCTCCAACCACTATTACATCAAAAATTTCAGTACAATTTTCCATCCCTTAACTTTTGTAATTCACCAGAGATTAATGGAGTTGCGAAAGCTACTTGATTAGGCTTCTCTCTCTCTTTCTTGATGCTCTGATGCTAAAAAATGGCGAACAAATTGAGGAGGAATGCCCCAAGAATGTGAGTTGGATTCGTATTTATAAAATTTTGTCATAAATTAATGTACTTGACCTTTTTTTAATAGTTGAAAAATGATAACATTACCCTCTTTACTTAACACGCCCTTTCTACGAAGTTTCCTTTTAATGGTCTTCTTTATAAGAATTACTTTGTTTTGGTCTTTCTTTATAAGAGTTGACCTAACAGGAAAAAAGATGTATTTTCTACCCTTCCTTTCACTTTCGTCTGAACAAAAATAAACGTTTTCCCTTGAATCATGGACTGTTTGTTAAAACAAATTATTACTATGTTTTGATTATTTCTTTTTATATCGACAAACCTGGTTTTGATGCGTGCATCTGCGTACCTTCTGCGCTTCTTCCTTGCTTGTGTCGGTCGAATATTCGAGTTTAGAAACGACAAGCCAGCTGCCATGGTTGTCTTTTCAGGAGTTGATATTTCAACATTGCTACAATTTTTTTCTCTTAAGGGTGGGGATAGGTCAGTGTTTTGTACAATTAGTGAACATATTACCCAAAAAAAAAGCATAAATTTTGAAAACTACTTGTCCAGCCCATCACGTAAGAATGTGAGTACAAAATCAAAGACAAATATTTAGGTAAACTTAATCTTGTAGAACATAGCAATTATTCGACTTGTTTTAGTATTTTTGCTTTTAAAAAGGTGCAAGAAATAAATTAGGGTGGTGGACAAGACCAAATCTACCTGTAAACCTGCGCCTTTCAGCATTCAAGTCTGTAGTCAATTTTAACCCGTAATCTTGCCAAGCCAACCTGTAACTTCTAGTATCATTTGGCTATATAACTTGCTAATGATAGTATAGTATTCTTGTTGCTTCCTAATTTAAGGTTCAGCAAGACACAGGTTCTATTTCGATGGTGTTTTTTGAGAATGTTTGTGTAAATTTACTATAACTTGCCTCAATTATTTTATGAAAACATTCCCCTCCTTATTCCATAAGGATCTGGTCGGGATTTGTGGTTAGTGTGATCATTGGGTGTGAACAAATTTGCTTTTGGAGAGGAAGGGAGGGGCGAGGGCAGGGTTGGGGAGAGGGAAGTGGACAGGATGGAAAGGAGAGAGATGGGAGGATGGAAAAAGGGTAAGGGAAGAAGGTGGTGCAGAAGTGGAAAGGGGAGGACGGGGTGAGGGGGAAGGAGGATGCAATGGATCGTGGTGATGGAAGGGTGGAGATGGTGGTATACGTACTGTTTTTGTAGGCTGTATATTTTGGGTATTTTTGTGAAGTTTTGGATATTTTAGGATATTCTAAGGTGTTTTTAACGAGTTACTTTGTATGGTATTGTTAAGAGACCAAATGTCCCATATTGATATTCTAAAGATTTTCGGCTACATTAATAAGATCTCGGATTCTAAAGATTTTCAGCTATATTAATAAGATCTTGATCACTTTATTCATCACTAATTAGTTTTGAGATGAAAGTCGAAATTCTTTTTAATGGCATCAAATTTGAGTTTTGGATTTGTTTGTTATCTCGTTTACAGTTTCATCCATGACCTTGTTTCTTTCTTTACTGATTTTGAGGATGCAATGGATTTTTGTTCTTTTTTTACTGACTTTGAGGGTGCATGGGTTTTGGGTGAGGCGTTGTTTACCTGTATCTTAAGCCTATTCAAAGCGTTAGAGATATATGTTTCACATAAATATTCCAATATTTTACGGTCACATTAATAAGATTTTGGATCATTTTACTCATTACAAATTGGTTTTGAAACAGAATATTTTAAAAAATTATTTTTCTAAAACACACTGAAAATAGGGGCACCAAATTAAGTCCAATATTCTTAAAATTATTTTAAAAACATCCCTTGATCAAGGTCTTGTTTAATATTCGAGCCCCTTATGCTTCAGGCAATTTGGAGTTTGATGATCCTCTGTTCAATGTTTGATTACCCCATGGTTTGTTGCTGATTTATGTGACAATGAGTTTGGACCATATGGACCACTAACAAACAACCCTCGCTTATAGGATTTGTATTGGGCTGGATTCGGCTTGTAAAACTTGGACATAAAACCCATGAAATGGTCATGGGTGGAAAATGGATTTTGGGTAATTCCCAATTCTTACTTCTGCTATCTGTAGTCAGTCCAAAAGTTGTTTCTTTAATTTAGTTGGCATTAAGGCTTATGTTAGCCGAAAACTATCTTGTCTATTGATTTTTAGTAAACTAGTTTCTGATAGATTTTTAAAATTCAAAATATGAGGGTACTTATTTTCATTTCTAATTCTAGTGCTTGTAAGACAAAATTAATAACCTGCTAATCTCTTGACTTCGTTCGGATTGAGAAATTTGACAAAGAATTTAAAATCCACTCAAATCGCTATTATTGTTTAGATTATTAAAAAGAATTGATTATTTATAATGACCACATAAAACTCATAATTGCATCAACATGATGCTATGATAGATTCTAAAGCAAGAAATCGCAAAGAAAATCATAGGAATTGAGGGAGGGAGAATCAGTTATTTATGTTGCATCTCAAATGACATAAACAAAATTTATAAGTATTAATAGTGGAAATTTACAATGCCAAACTTCAAAATAGTACTAATTGCTATTAGTGTAAGTATTTGAAGATTCCAAATAAGTACAAGAAAAAAGTTGTGAAAAGTTAACATTGCAATTCAAGTTAGACTCCCCTTTGTACATCTTTAGGACAAAATTAACAGTGGCTTCCTCTCCATTGCATCTGATTGCATCCTTATCATGCCTAGTTAGTACATTAAGTAGATTTTTGTAATGTCAAACTACAAAAGTTTCAATTAGATAAGAATACAAGATAATTAAATGCAAAGAAAATTTTCACCATCAATTACGCCAATATGCATGTATCTTTAGGAAACATAGGTATCGTTTGATAATCCAATTCAATGCTTAAATTTAATGGATTCAGATTTTAACATATTCAGACCATTTGATAATCAAAAATTGAATATCTAAATTAATTAAGTAGCACTGAATTTTATAGGCAAAACTTGCTCCCAAAATTAAGTAATAAGCTATTCACTTATCACTGAATATGATATGCATTCAAATGTATTAGATTTAATACTTAACAATTTAATAATTTAATGGATTCAGACTTTAGATTCCAGACTTCAATTTTTATATTTTAGTTTTCTCAAAGGCACCCATAGTATGCTAATAGAGTAATACAATCTATCATTGTGAATCAAAATCTATGCATCTAAAAGTCAAATATCCACACCTATATATCAGCAGTAAAAGCAAATTAAAAAAAAATACTCTCCTAGGTTCTTAAAACACACATGTACGAAAAAATATTTTTATTTCAAGGACAGAATACATGGGTGCATCACATTTTTTTCTCTTAATTAGTCCTTTTCTCCCTTCCAATTAATTAAGAATATAAGTATAAAAAGTGCATATGTAAAAATTATATCTAAAAGTGTGATGCCAAAATTTGACATTTTAAAACACTTCCATCGCAATTTGAATACAATCAACACATGTAAAATAGCTTCAATTAATGGCAAAATTAGATAGTGAACTTTGCTAGTTCGCTCTAATCCACACAAGTTACTCATAACACCCATAAAGATAAAAATATAACTATTACAAAAAAAGACAGCAGCAATTCTTCAAAAATTTCATAATGCAAAATTCAATTTTAGACTACCAAGAGTTCAACAAAGGAGACAAAGGCATTTTGCTGAGCTACAATGTTAGATTTGAGTAATTTGCCAAGATAAATCTTTAATGATGAAAATATGTACACTCACAAGTGGGGAATCCAATTATTCTAAATTCAAGAATTAGCCACTTGCATGAAATTTCATGAGTAATTTGGGATAAAAATTAACTTCCTTTCCTGGAAAAAAGAGAACAAGAAATTATGCATTTAACCCATCAATCATGCTGAATGCTTTCTTAAAATGGCTTGAATTTAACATCAAAGAATCCTTGGGACTAACTTCACTGCCATTGCATGTTCTGGCAGTCTAAGCTTGCTTAGGCTAAAAAAAAAAAACATAGCTAATTGTCTAAAAAAAAGGCATAGCATCCTTTCTTAGCTTTGCATTGCATAAATTCAAGGCAAACAAGTTGATATTGTTAGACCACCATTCATTTATTGAAGTTAGGAATAACACCTAGACCAACTGCAATAACCTTTCACTGTGTCTAGAAAACCACCTATCACTGTGTCTAGAAAACCACCTATATATTTCTTGTTAATTGGTTTTGGATAAGTAAGTTAGTTGTAATGCCTCTGGAATACAAATACCTTCATGTAATTAATTTAGAACAGCTTGTCTCTTGATAATCTAATTAAACTCATCTAGTTGTCCAGGCCATAGTTATTAAACCCAACCCGGAAGGAAATCCGACGAATGAGGTGTGTCAACGGGTTACTGGTTCAACCAGTGGGTGAGTGGTTGAATCGGTGGGTCACTAAATATATTTAAATATTATATTTCATAATTTTTTATATAAGATCGATGATATAAATTATAATAAATATTGTCATAGCAAATGCTCATATAATTTAATTTGCTATAAATAATTAATTCATATAGGAATCAATAAAATATTAAGTTATTTAGTGATATACCAAACTTCAAGTATAAAATTTTATCTATGTTTAGTGTAATTATCTAACTTATTTATGAATTTTAAGTACAAAAAAATTATTAAAAATAATATTTGTTTTTAAAATGAATTATGTAATATGTCATTTTTTAAGTCCATTTTATAACTTATAGAGTTTGGGGGTCATAAATTTTTATTAAAAGATTCCAATAAATTTGTTTTAGAGAAATAAAAAAATAAGATAAAGTTGACAAAATGTTTATATATTATAAGTAAGCTATTTAATCAACAAATGGTGAAGTAGCTTGGTGGTATGCACGTTGCTGCCAGGACCAAAGGTCCATGGTTCACTAGTTTGACCGGTTCGACCGCCGGACCGGGTTTAATAACTATGGTCCAGGCAACCTTATATAAACTTCTACCTTAAATCCATCTCTTTGATGGCACTACCTTTACCACCTACTTGCACTGGAGATGATTATTTCAGAATCCATAATCCAAATGCCAGTTTCAATGGCACTATACATAGAAGCTGTTGTACTTTTCTATCCCCTAAACGTCAATGCTTAAGCAAGAGCAATATGTTAGCAACCTTTCTTAGCTTTAAAATTGCTTAAATTTTTTCACTAAACATGCGAGCTGTTGTACTTTTCTATCCTCTAATGTCAATGCTGAAGGGAAAAAAAAAAAAAGTTAGCATTCTTTCTTAGCTTTAAATTGCTTAAATTATGCAAGGCTAACAAGTTGATATTATCAGACCACCATCTTTTCTAGCTGTTTCTTCCACATGATAGATCTTCCCACTTCAAATTAAATGAACCTATTCATCATTATAAAAGCTATCATACAATTGATTAAAAAAGTGGGTGAAGCATACCACACCTAAGATATCATAATTATCAATTGCCACTTACAACAAATAAATGGAACTTGCAGCTATTACCTAGGGTCACGCAATAGGAAAGTTCAGCAACTTATAAAGTTTTGATGTCTTGCATGTACCCTTTAGCTATCATTTTTTATCAATTGAATTCGTTCAATTGATACAATATGTGATTTCTCTTGGGTCTACTTGTTATTCAAAACCTTAGTAAAATTTCATTCTTTGAGTACTCAACAAACGGTGGTCTGACAATATTACCAATACATATATTTAGCTCAAGATTTTGTTTTGCCATTTTTACAAATAGGTTTTGGGTATTAGGCAAAATAGAACTTGTTCCCTTCAAATTTGTTTCTAGTTTACCTAAACTTCCAACTAATGTTTCAGCAATAGAGAAATTAAATAG